GCTCACACCCTGCCTCAGCCGCGCCCGAGGGGGCTGCAGTTTAAGCGTGAGCAGCTGTATGTTCCTGCAGTTGGCAAGAGCCCTCGGGCAGGTCTGGGAGCTGCTTTTGCAGCCACAGAGCCCTCGCTAGAAAGACCCATTCTGCAGCAAGCAAGGCCATGTTCTACACTGCCACCTCCTCAGGGAGCCTTTATACAATTTCAGACTAGCCCAGGACCAGTAAGGCAGAAACACAGCCAGGCCTTGCCAGCTGGAAACCCTGGCAGCCAGCAGCAGAGAAGCCTGGCCACTCACAGGTCGCTCAGGCCAGCATACCACCTCCATCCACACCTTCAGCTCTGAAATAAGAGCAGCCCAACCCAACCAGAAGATGCCCAGTCACTCCGCTTTTCCTCCTGTTCCTCTCCACTCACAGAAGACAACAAAAGCAGATTTTGTCTAGCCTTTATTAAAAGGAAAGTTATAAAAAGAGGTTCAGGAGCTCCTAGCAGCTCTGAGTTAGTAGTAGTGCAAACCATTGGTTAGAGAAAGAATCATCCCTGCAGAGATATCGAACGCCATTTGGCTTTGCATCCACAAAAGGGACATTTTCCCAGCTGCAGTCCTGCTGGCTCAAACAGGGGCCCAGGAGAGAGCAGGCCGCCAGCTCAGGGAAAGTCTCCTCTCCTTCAGCTGCATGGATGGCAAACGCAGGTCCCAGGGGCATCCTGGTCATGACAGAGCAGGAGAAACGCAGGAGGGTGGATGCAGCCAGCGTTCTAGAAGAGGCACTCAAGAGTTACCAGGTAGCAGCTCAGACACTAGCCAGGTTCATCACAGAGAAATTCCTTGGTGAAGACAGACAGCTCCATTTCAAACGACTAAAGCGCATCTGCAGATCGGCTGGAGGATGATGCTTGGTCACTCCTGCAGCGGACACTGGTCCCCCCAGCTGCTGTGAGAACAGCCCAGGGGGCTCTGAATGGGGTAAGAGCCCTCTACTCATGGCTGACCTTCAGGAACTCAGTACTGGGTGCTCAGAAGCTGCAGAGCTCTGAAGGAAGCAGTAAGAAATGCTTATATTAATATAAAAGAATTTGGCCTGTGTCATCTTCTGTTTTTCCCCTCCCCAAGCCCTGCTAATGGCAGGGATCCTCAGCTGGTGATCTGCACTGGTATCTTCCAGCAGAACAACATCTGGTCCTGGTCATCCACCAGCTCCCACTTCACAATCAGTTTAATCTGAAAGAGAGAGCAGAGGGAAGTGAGAGCATTCAGGAAACCTCAAAGCAAGGACACGGGAAGGAGAGTTATCACTTATGTGGAGCAAGGAGGTCCTGGGAGCACTGCTGTCACTCCTGGAGTGTTTTACATGGATGGAGGGTTCAGCTGTGGGACACAGGAGACCTCCACACACTGGACTTAGATCCCCACTCCAAGCAAACAGAGTAGTGACACCCTGCAGCCTCCCACTGCACTCTGGGGCCGAGCACCCGTGGTTTGGGAACATCTGGCTGAATGCACGGAGGCATACTGCTGCTTCTGCTGGGTCTGTCCCCAAACAAGAACTTGAAGCAAGAGTCACAATGTCAGCAGAAGTGACATCAGATAACCCGAGGAGTCTTCTGACCTCTTCGGCCCCCACACAGGATAAGATGTCCTTCTGTAAGGGTGGGACTGTCCCAGAAAAGGGAGCAGGTCTGAGGAGGAGACCCGCTGCCTGCTTACTTACACTGGGGTACTCGCTCTTCACAGGGAGTTTATTCAGGTAGCTGTAGGAATGGCCCTTCTGAATGGGGCACTGGATCCCAGACTTGCATCCATCAGGCTCAGGAATGGGAAAGGGTATGTCCACGTGCAGCATCTCGCCGTACACTCTTGCCTTGCTGCCCTGGCTCTCGATCTCTGCACAACAGAGAGAAGCGTGAGCATGGCACGAGTTTCCTCCTCACGACCCCCCTGGACATACCGCGGGTGCTGCGAGAACGCAACGAAGGGATGCTTTTCCCACACGGGCCCCCGCCAGCCACCC